AAATGAATTATTAATGTTGTTTAAAGCAGCATATTAATAATTATGTTTGTAAATTATCGATAAGCTGCTTATAGCAGGTCACGTGATTGCTACCAATTATGTGCTCAGAAAGCATCTTTTCAACTTCGATTTTGAACAATTTTACCTCCTTTGAGGCCAAATGATGGACGGTTTGAGGCACACGATGAAATGCTGAATCTATTGATGCCAAAATTTGTTCATTTTTTGCATTTTTAGACTAGTATATCCTGGCTCAAACTTTGACCAGTTTGTGTGTAAACCCTATGGTGAAGGGAAAACTTCGCGCCCAGCAGACGTCTTTACAGTGCTGCCAAATCGTGTTTGGTGGGGGTCGGGTTCGTCCGCGTGGGGCGCCGTCACTGATGACTGTTGCATACTTTTTGGAGCTAAGGTCACGTCTTCTGGGCCGGCTGCGATGTTACATGGTGTTTGCGCGTTGTTCCTACATTCGGTAATGGAGATACAATCGACGAAAATATATGCACGCGCTTGCTCGCTTCTCCAGTCCCTTCAAGAGGAAACAATCCTTTTAACGGCACAGCTACTTGAACTGGCTAACAGGCTAATAGGCATTAATGCATAAGAGTACGTATGAGGTGCTGATATATCGTTTTCCCATGGCGCGGCCGCTTACACCGTAAGCTCGCGCAAGTGTTTTCGCGGGGACCTTCTGATTTCATTGAATTTTGCCTTTAAAGGGACCCTCCACCTTAACATTAGATTGAGAGTAGCCAAAATGGGGTCCCTGGCTCACAATTACCGGTTTCGGCACTCACAACATCGAGAAATGCCTTAAATCGGAAATATTGAATTTCAAAATTGCAGCATTTTGATTCAGAGGGGCTAATGCATAGGAATACCCCTCTGAATGTGTGTCGTCAGCGCAGATATCTAACGATTTTTAAATGTTTGCCTAAAACGTTTTGTAGCACGCGGTGGATATGCTGCTTTGCGCGCAACAAGTGCCGCACTTTAAGCTGCACCAAACTATTGCTTCCAATAAAGTCGCTAGGAACAGCGGAGATCCCAAAAAGTAAACAAAAGTAGAAGTCTAATATCTTGAAAACCGGTGAATATTTTTCGGTGAAATTTGGTAGATATTCGTTTTCGCGTTTCTGAACCGAGCGACATCACTTTCATGCCAATTCATAAACTTTTTGAAGGTGGGAGGGTCCCTTTAAACCCCCTTGGAAACCAAGGGAGCAGCCGGTGTCAGTGCAAGATGATGAGTCAATATCCTTCTTCCTCCAAGGCTTATATCTGTTCGATACACACTACTTTTAGACATTTGATGAGGCATAAAGAAAACTTTGCATGCGTGTCAGCGCGGTAAAAAAAAATGATAGCCGGTCTGCTTGAACCCACGTTCTGTGACCAGCCGACTCAAAATCACCACGCAACTTACATAAACATGAAAAGTATTCATTAACCCGCGCCCCGCTGGGGGGGGGGGGGCAGAATCTGCCCCTCCCGTTTTTCGCCAATAACTTCTAAACACGTTACGCCAGCGACGTCAAACCTTCAGTACCTTATCATACATCAATTTGACACGTTCCCTGAAAATTTGAGCGAAATCCGTCGGAAAATTTTTGAGAAATTGACGTTTTCGTGACGTCATGTTCGCCATTTTCGCCTCAAAAACGGCAAAATTTCAAACGCCGCTAACATCTTCATTTTCAAGGAATCAAGACGTAAAAAAAAGGTTATACGTGATTCTACTTTGTCTATCAAATGGCTATCTCGGTTTTTTGAAAATTTTGGATTTTGGCCAAAATTTTTCCAAAAAACTGACTTTTTGGAAAAAATATTTATAAAATCCAAAATTTTGAGTTTATCGAAAAAACCGGAATATATGTCAAAGACATGGTCTATGTGCACCTACATACCAATTTTTAGAAGAATCGGTTCAAAAATGGGAGTTATTCAAAATTTTATGACGTCACGACACACAATTTTTTTGAAAAATGATTTTTTTGGAAGTTCTAGACCTCGTACGGAAACAAAAATAGCACCATTCGATTCGCCGTGAAAAACTGCATCGGATAGACACCTTTTTAGGCCTTAACAACAACTTCAAAATTTGACCTCACTTGACCTGACCTTGACCTGACCTCGACCTGAAATTCATCCAGAGGTGGTCCATATCACTTATTGGGTGTGCCTATTGAATTCCATGAGTAAAATGACCATAAAACATGTGTCGCACATGCCCTTTTCTATATTTTGTTTTGGTGACCTGACCTGACCTGACCTGACCTGACCTTGACCTTGACCTTTGAATGACATTGTGTGCAACGGATATTGTCTTGGTAGTCTAAGAACACGTTTTGGGCAATCAGTCTCAGTCCATTCTTCGGCAACTACGGTGCAAGGCCGATACTGTAGAAACTTGCATTTTGTGCCCTTGACCTGACCTTGACCTGACCTCTGACCTACTTAAGCAAAAAATTTGGGCTCTTAAGATCCGCCTTGTTGAGAGCTTTCGATTGCCGTTTTCCCCGTCTTTCTACGACCATCGGTTCGGAAGTTAGACAGGGGGGGCAGAATCTGCCCCCCCCCCCAGCAGGGCGCGTATGGCTGAATAGCCCAGCGGGGCGCGGGTTAACCTGTAAGTATGTCAAGAAATTGTCTTAGTCACTCAAAACATAACAGTTTTAGAGGAGTTTAAATTTGTTCCAATTTATCTGCAACACCCCGTATATCTTTCGATGCGCACGGACGTCCTGAGCTCACTGATGCTTTTATTTTTGTTCTATCTTTACTAGGTAAAAGTTAGAAGCGAAAGACTTTTGACATGTTTTAGAGAAATGTTTGCACTTATATCCCCCCACTCACACACAGGCCACAACCCCCCTAAGTATTTACTTAGTCACCAAATTTTCACGGGGGCGTGATCTCCTATGGAACCACCTACCCTGTAACTTTGGCGTTTCTAAGTGCCATAGGAGCCAATCGCCAGGGAGGGAGGGGGAGGGGTCGTACCAACTCGCCAAATTTACAGGGTTATTGAAAAACCCTGTATAACCCCTCTCGCCGTCCGTGTTATTGAAAAGGCCCTCGCCTGGCGAGGGCCTTTTCGAGTGGCCTTTTATTTCTTTTTTTCGAGTGGCCTTTTTATTGTATTTTTTTAGTTAAAATACAATAATGCGCAAATTTACCATTGCTCGCCTACAACAATTTTGGTATAAAACCATGTTTTTTTTGTTTTTTTTGTTTGTTTGCTCACAGGGCATGCTGCACTGGAAGAGCGACAAGTGGTTCGGCATCCAGCGTCTCCAGGGAGTGAATCCGGTGCTGATCAAACTCTGCACCAAAATACCCGACAAGTAAGTACTAGACGGGGTGACGGCCGCGATCCTAACCAAAGGTCTGCAATGTGGATGATGAAAACAAAAACGGACCCGGGATCTCATCCCACCACCGAGACACCTTTTGCTGCGACTTGAGTGAGCCCTGCACGTGCGGAATGGCGAGACGGAGAGGACACTTCCTACTGAATTGTGCGAGACACCCTACTAACCGACGTCAAACCAAAGTTGAGCGCAATCGGCCCAGCCGTTCTTGAGATGTGGAAGCAACCCCTACACGTGCGCAGTAGCACTCCGACCGTGACATATGGAAATACATTGCCCGGTGGGTGCCTACCAACATGCCAAGTTTCAGCGTGATCGGCCCAGTAGTTAACCCGCGCGCCGTTGAGGTCTGGTAGGTTCCACGTCCTGTTGGGGGGGAGAGGGGGGGGGGCAAAAGGCCCCCGTCGTATGTCTCCGCAACCAATAGCCGGATCGGGAAAATTCAAACGGCATTCGGAAGAGCTCATCGAGATGCACAAGATAGGATGTTGATGACCTTGATATTTGACCTGTGACGTCACTTGGAGGTCAAACAAGGTCAAATCAATCCAATTTACAATGACGAGAAGTCGGTCATAAAAATGAGATCTAGGTTTCCAACACATGAGTGGTATAGCTGTCCAGCAGTATTTCCTTACAGTGGTCCCAGTCCAGCGGTATTCCCCAACAGTGGTTCCAGTCCCGCGGTATTCCCAAAAGTGGTATTACTATCCCGCGGTACTCTCTCAGCGTTTTATATCGCCATCCCACACGGTCTGTTTCAGTCTAAACGTGGACGACACCATGCTGCGGCCGTTCCTTGAGACACTCACCATCGAGGAGGCCATTCAGAGCCAGAAGCTTTTCCTGGTCGACCTCGGTATTGTAGAAGGCGTACCGCCGGCCCCAGGAACTCAGGTTAGTTGGGTCGACCTCGGTATTGTAGAAGGCGTACCGCCGGCCCCAGGAACTCAGGTTAGTTGCTAGGAAACTCACTCATCGACGGATCTTTGTGGACGTGTGTCCCGACACTTATGCTCCATACTTACCAATGGTCGTATCGAGCCCCGCGAGGCGGCGTTCGAAAGGTCTCTACAAGATCTTCCCAAAGCACTCTTAAGGTTTTAAGATTGAGGTCAACTTTCGGGTCAAGATCAGGTCAAAGTTCAAATTCTGGGGTTTTGCGTGATTAGGCTTACGGACAGCTGAATCGATAGCTGCTGCTCAAAACTCACCAAAATGACGCCAAAGGCCTAGTGAAGGTACACTCGGGGGCAGATTGATGTTCCACCACTCCCTACCCATCGGGCAATCCCATGGCTCAGCACTGGCTGCTGCCAGTGTTGCCTGCCCTCAGCACTGCTCAGCACTGCCTGCCCGTACCAGTGCTGCCAGTGCTGCCACTGGCAGCAGCCAGTGCTGAGCCATGGGAGCCCGATGGGTAGGGAGTGGTGGAACATCAATCTGCCCCCGAGTGTACCATGTGCGTACAGGGGTCATACTAAGTACGGGTCAAGGTAAGGTCAGGTCATGAAAGGTCACGGTTTTCACTTTCTGCTACATGGGCGTGCGACACATGTTTTATGGCTTATTTTTCACGCCGAATCCGATGGTACTGGTTATATATGACCCCAAGACACTGTGCTGCTGATAGGTGTGTTAATAAATGATAGGTAAAACCGAAAACTATATGCAAGTTGGTAATCGTGTAGCTGTATCTAAGTAGATGTCAGCACCCAGCAAAACAGAACGCTACATGAACATCAAAATGAATTGGTTTGTTTTCGTTCGTGAGAAATATGTACATTGGCGGATCCAGGGTCCAATCTTATAATATGCCGTACTATTATATTTACGGCAGTTGGTAAGATTCACAGTGATACCAGTGCTGACAAAGATTAATCTGAGTCAACGAAATGATTCTTTAGACCGTCAAATTACGCGATGAACTGAAATGCGTGAAAACCATTTTGCATTTGTAGCGGGGTTTCGCGGCGTCGCGGGGCTAACCGGGCAGTATCTTTCGGTAGTGAGATGAGAGCTCCGTCGGCGCGCTCCATGGAAGCCCTTCTCTGTATGCCAGCCCATCGCGAACTCGTTCCGACTCAGACTCTACCTCGGGGCGATCAATCATCGGAAACACATAGGCCAGGGTTAGGGAATGGGAGATAATGATAAATGTTAATCAATTACCCTCGATCATATTGGTATAGAAAATCAACTCTATTTAACAAAAAGTCCCACTCTCAAACAACAGCGCCCTTCCTAGCTTGAGGGTCATCTCCCACCAGATATATGCATCAATCATTCGTCCATTTATCCATCCCCTTACAACCATGTCATTCGTCCACTTATACCTCGTAATTTACCAGAGTTGACCATCTCCGGTCCCTCCCCTTTTTCCTATAACTTCCCCCGGTGGTGCTAGGGCGCGCGCAAAGTCGTTATCGAGTCATTGGCCTTAAATGTCATTTAACCGTTATCCCTTCATAACCACAATGTTCCGTACATCAGACAAACGCTTCATAATGCTCACGCTACACAATTAGAGATACGACCCACCACATATTTCGGCACTCGACCTTCGCGTTACGTGACTTATTGCGGTCCGTCCCATCACCATGTCGAACTACCTACACAAAAAAAAACATAAATGTCTTCGGCCAGCGGTTCCGAGACTACGGCTCACAGGGCACTGTGTAGTCCGGTTTCCGCGGGGGACTTATTTGAAATTTGAGACCGGGGCTGGGTAACTAAGGTCCGTCCGGGCTGCCTGCGTCGTCTCCGTATAGCCGCGGTTTTCGGGCCAGCCCCCGGCGACCGAAAGGGGTTAGTCGTTCGTCGGCTTTACACGAATCCATGACTATCAGTTTATGCCAAATTGCCTATAATAAAACGAAAACTAAGCGTACCACGGCCCGCAATGGGCTTATCTAAAATTTGAAACCGGGCTGGGTAACTAGGTCCGTCCGGGCTGCCTGCATCGTCTCCGTATAGCCACGGCTTTTGGAACAGCACCGGCGACCGAACGGGTAAGCCTCCGTTGGCTTCACACAATCCACGACTACCAGCGTTATAGGTGCCCGAAGCCCTATCTATCCGTTGCTGGTAGTTAAGCTGTCGTCACAGACCTAACCGAAATGACCGCTGCACGGCCGGAGTAAATCGACTGACAGCGGGGTGGCCAGTACCGACTTACCGCGATCACCCGACTCGCATGCTTTGGTATTTAATGTTCACCCCCGTCCTGCAGCATCACACGTTTCTTCGCGGGACATTACTTAACCGGCGGCATACGTCTCCTCGCTGGGACGCCTGGGGTCCTAACCATCTCCGAAACTACCTACGTCACTTATCGAATGTCATCCTGCGCTGATCACTCAATGGACCGATAGCGGACCTAACCTATCTTTTAAAACCGGGCGGGGTCACTAGGTCCCTCCGGGCTGCCTGCATCGTCTCCGTATAGCCACGGCTTTATGGGGCCCGCGCCGGCAACCGAACGGATTAGCCTTTGTCGGCTATGCACTCATCCTCAATAATCGATCCTCAACTCGCTCTCACCCTTTCTCTTCACTTCGCGACTTATTGCACGTATCCAGGGCTTACCCAAGCGAGGCCTACTATTTAAGTGGGGTCTACCCGAGCTGAGCTTCATTCAGGAAATCCGATTCCTCTACGTGTACAGTCTTCAATTCCATTTCACTCGCTTCTTATCTCCCTCCTAACCCATGGCCGCGTCGGTGGACTTTCCACGCACAGGGGCGTGACGTGCATCATCTATCTCCCCGGTTCCGTCCCTTGCAGTGTCCCCAGTGTCCATGTGGGGTAAAGTTACAAATATTTCGTGTGCGGCAAGGTCTATGTGTGCTCCTTATATTCGGACCGCTGGATAGGGTAGAGCGCCAGGAAATCCGCTGGCGAGGGCACTTGGGAGTCAACCGGAGAAGCTCCAGTATCGGTTGGGCTAGGGGTAGGGAGGTCCCGTATGTGTTGTGTATAATCGCTATCATTTGGACCGTGGGATAATTTGGGGAGGATGGAGTGCCAGGAAATCCACTGGCAAGGGCACTTAGGAGTCAACCGGAGAAGCTCCAGTATCGGTTAGGCTAGGGAGGTCCTGTATGTGTTGTGTGTAATCGCTATTGTTTGGACCGTGGGATAATTTGGGGAGGATGGAGTGCCAGGAAATCCACTGGCAAGGGCACTTAGGAGTCAACCGGAGAAGCTCCAGTATCGGTTAGGCTAGGGAGGTCCTGTGTGTATTGTGTGTAATCGCTATTGTTTGGACCGTGGGATAATTTGGGGAGGATGGAGTGCCAGGAAATCCACTGGCAAGGGCACTTAGGAGTCAACCGGAGAAGCTCCAGTATCGGCTAGGCTAGGGAGGTCCTGTGTGTGTTGTGTATAATCGCTATTGTTGGACCGTGGGATAATTTGGGGAGGATGGAGTGCCAGGAAATCCACTGGCAAGGGCACTTAGGAGTCAACCGGAGAAGCTCCAGTATCGGCTAGGCTAGGGAGGTCCTGTGGGTGTTGTGTGTAATCGCTATTGTTTGGACCGTGGGATAATTTGGGGAGGATGGAGTGCCAGGAAATCCACTGGCAAGGGCACTTAGGAGTCAACCGGAGAAGCTCCAGTATCGGCTAGGCTAGGGAGGCCCTGCATGTGTTGTGTATAATCGCTTTGTGCACTGTGTAAACTCAACAGATAAAGAGAACTGATCGTTGTAAATTACTCTGGCCGGACACCTTGGAAACGACCTCTTTCCTGACTGTGGGTTAGCATATGGCCTTTTATGCTCCATCCTCCGATCCCTGCCCCTTCAGCACTACTCACACTCGTATTTCAATATTTACAAGTCCCATTTATTTACATACTCCGACGCAACACCTTAAATTCCCTTACAAGTCAAATTTAAAGGAAACATTCTGGGCCCAGGCCGCCCATCAACTGAGCCCCACAAGCCGCGCGGTGCGGTACACAGTCGCCCGTCCCTTTCCCGACTCCCCACGGTGCATAATCCCCTCCGTCCGCTTAAATCACAACGGGGCGCCAGACGACTGAAGAGGGCCCACGTCGGCACGCGTGTCGCACTACGCGCACAGTTACATAATTGATCGAAATCGAATTGTGAAATTAAGCTACCTAGACTGAAAGTCCCAAGAATAAATTTAAATACCTAAGCTGAATGGCCTAAAATATTGCGGACGACACCTAAAAGGGGAATATAATGTGGCTCACATAGCAGTAACGAAAGGGGGGGGGGGGGGTTACTTGGAGGATTTAGGGACTAGGTGCGCACCCGTGTTCACCGCGTGACCTTACTTGAGATGGAGTCGCTGACATGATGGTCGTGACCGTCCAGCGCCCGGCCAGGCGGCCGGAGCCGCCGCCGGCGCCGTGATGCCTGCCGCTGGTCTCTCGTGGGCTGTCCACGGTGTCAGATGTGAGCCGAGAGCGAAGAGCGGCGTGGGATCCGTCGTCCGAGAGAGAGCCAGAGAGCGCGGAATGCGTCGTCCGAGAGCTTTTCAGTTCCGTTTCATCAACTTATACTTCTGATGACGTCATACTTCAGAGGGCCGGGCAGCATCACCTTGTCCAATCTCCGTCCTCCATTCTCAGAAGCTGCACTCGGCTCCGCCCTCGAAAGTTCGTGATTTGCTGACAAAGTTCGGTTCCCCTCCGGCCATGGCAGTCGCACCCTTTCACGCAGCGACCGGGTGGAATTCGCCGCCGGCGCTCACGGCGCCTGAGGCGCCAGGTGGCGGGCCTGGCCCTCTGCTCCCCTTGTTTTGAAGTCAGGTCCGGCCAGATGTCCTATATTTTGTCGTTGGCGACCGAGTTCCATTTCATCCTGTTTTCGTACAACCCGGGTCGGTCTCCGCTCCCCTTTCTTGTTTTGGTTCAAATCAGGGCCGGTCTGCACTCCCCTCTCCTTGTTCTCTGGCGGGGTGCCGAGCGTGGGACAGAGTCTTGTTTTCCAAAGGCTAAACTGATTAATGGCTCGAGGCTGGCAGAATGGCGCGTTTCGGTATGCTATTTGTTGGCTTCAGATCCGGGTTCTCATGAAGTGGGGTGGTCATCTATAGAGGACCCCTGTTTGTCAGAGCCTACTGCGCCGTCTGTGTGGACGCCAGCTGGGACGGAGAGAGGGTATCACAGCCGATTTAGCCGGCTGACCGTGTCTGTGCGGCGCTCGCAGATGGCCGTGTTTCAGCTTGTGGCACAGCTTGCAGTTCAGCATGAAAGATCTTTCATCTATGAAAAAAATGTAACGCATCTGCGTTACACATTTGATAGTCGTTTTCTGCAGCTGAACTTCAGCCAGTGCTGCCATATCCATTCCACGGCGTTTATAAGATTGAGCCCAGGTGGGGGGGGGGAGGGGTGCATTTGAGGCAAATGCCCCCCCCCCCCCACAGCGCCCGAAGTCGACATGAATTTGAGTTTTTTTTTTAGATAAAACAAAAACCAAACTTTTATAAGGAAAAGTTTGTTATAAGCTGCACAGCAGTGCGCAATAAATCAAAATCCAATGAGTTTTTGGAATTAAGTGAATTTTTTGTAGGGTATAGGTACCCCCGCAGCATCCAAGACCGCCTTTCTTTCGATAAAAGAGACTTTACAAACCAGTAATAGTGCACACGTTTCCAAAACAGTGCAATCAATTTAGAAGATAGTGTGTTGAATTTCAGTGGATTGTAGGTAAATTTCGCCATAGTGCACGGTTTTGTCATGTGGTGTGCTATTCGACGTCCCGCAAAGCAATTTAGGCGATGTTCAAGTGAATTCGCTGTTAGATTGGGAAAATATTTTTGAAAGTCCCCTATCTGTGTGTCAAGAGTACCGTGAAACTTTGTCACAGAGCTGCTCAAATGTAACTTCACCCCTCAGGAATTAACTTATCTTTAGTCTCGCTCTAAGAACTCGTTGACACGGTCACGTGGCGGTCACGTGGCATTCGGGGCTTCTGAATCGGCTGCATAACTTCGTTCCTGGCTCAAAAAGATCAGGAGTGTTACATAATGTTTGTTATCGCCTTTCAACACTAATTCGATTGAATAAAGCCGAAAAATATTACGCCGAACTTGAAAGCGCCCAACGAATAATGCGCACTACACTTTTTATGGCCAAATATAGAAATAGTGCACACAGTTCAGTAATAGCGCTACCGATTTCGACAATTCAGCTTAGTGTACTGTTAAATCGGCCGAGTGCATGTCATTCAGTAATAGTGCACTTGTTTCCAAAACAGAGCAATCAGCTTAGAACATAGTGCGTTCAAATGCAGCAGACGTATGTCAATTGCGCCATAGTGCACGGTTTTGTCATGTGGTTTGCTATTCGGTGTCCTGCAAAGCAATTTATTAGATGCAAAAATATAGCATGCATGTTTATTGTCTATGCATAACCAAATAAGTGAGTGCAAACAACAGCTTCAACGCATACAACCACATCCAAGCTGTTGTCTCCACCTAAATGCACTGCGTGGTGATCCGAAGTACCCCGCTGCTTTTACCAGGGGACATTGAAGCGGTTGTGTGTCGATGTTTCAGCTGTGCGCGCCGATGGGGCTCTTTTACCTGAACAAGAACAGCGAGCTGCTGCCGGTGGCTATCCAGCTGTTCCAGCATAAAGGCGGCGACAACCTGGTGAGGCCACCTGTCAGGAGCCCACACCTGACCACACCGATCTGGCACGCTTCAAAACATCACCAACGAATTAGTCATATACATATTGTGTCAGGGGCTCAGGCACGCTTATGCTACAAAACTGTGATATCTTTGTTCTAATTGTGCAGTTTGTGAAACCGATTCAAAATTGACTCGCTGCTACTAAAGTAGCCGCGCGGGGCCCCACACTATGAATAAGCACAAATAATTGCGTAAATTTAGGCATAAAACAACTTTTGCTAACCATCAACATGGTAGAAGACTGGTAAGTAACTCGACATGATGCAAATCTAGGGTTATAATTACGCTCGTTCTAGAGAATTTCATGTAAGTACTAAAAAATGATGCCAGTAAAAAAAGGATACCTACAGCCGTCCTGATCGACTGCCAGACCTTATTGAGACCCCTCTCAGAAATATCCCTCGGGATATCTTCTCGCTGATCGCGATGCAGCGCGGCCCAAACAGAGCGGTTCAGCTACACAGTCGACTGACCTACGACAACAACGAGCTACAATATACATACATGCAATTTTTCGCCTACTATAAAATATACACCGCGAACGACCCACCAAACCTCCAACCGGCAGGTGTTCCTGCCGAGCGACCCGCCGAACTTGTGGCTGCTGGCCAAGATGTTCTTCAATAACGCCGAGGTGCAGCACCACGAGTCGCTGACGCACCTGGGCTTCACGCACTTGATGATGGAGGGCGTGGTCATCTGCTCGCACCGCCACCTCTCCGTGTCGCACCCACTCTTCAGGCTGATGGCGCCACACTTTTTGTTCCTCATTTCCATCAACGTGGTGGCGCTGCAGGACCTGATCGCTCCTGGAAAGTGGGTAGATCGCGTGATGACGGTGCGCGCTTCTGGCCTGCAGGAGATCGTCAAACGAGGGTGAGTCGCTGCCGCGGGCAGGCTCGATGGCAAACGAGGCAGGGTCCGAATGGCAGGCTTTGCAGAGCGAGCGCCCTCAGATGGTGTGTAGATGTGCACATGGATAAAATCACCCTCTAGGTGATCTGTTTTGTAATGATCATAGCGCCGATAACGTTTCTCGATGCTTGATGGTACGCTCTCGTCACACGTGTAGCTACCGCATGGATATCTTAGCCACTGATGTGAGTGAGACACGGGGTTGGATGGGCGGGCAGCTGCTGACGGCTGACGGGTGTCGTCCAGTCTGCAGGACTGGAGGCTGGACAGGGACGGCGTCATACCGCGTCAGGTAGCGGCCAGAGGCGTGGCCGACCCCTCGGTGCTGCCCTACTATCCGTATCGGGACGACGCCTGCGCTCTCTACTCTATCATCGAGCGCTACGTGCGGGCTGTGCTGGAGGCTGCCTACAGCCAGCCCGGAAGCCTGCAGGCTGACCACGAGCTGCAGCAGTGGCGCAAAGAGCTGACGATGGCGCGCCAGCACGGCGGCGTGGGCATGTGTGGAGTCGCCGGCGACAGCGAGCAAGGTAATCTCACTGTCCCCGGCTGGTGGTGAGACGAGCGGGGTGGGCTCACTGTCCCCGGCTGGTGGTAAGACGAGCAGGGTAATCTCACTGTCCCCGACTGGTGGTAAGACGAGCGGGGTGGGCTCACTGTCCCCGGCTGGTGGTGAGACGAGCGGGGTGGGCTCACTGTCCCCGACTGGTGGTAAGACGCGCGGGGTGGGCTCACTGTCCCCGGCTGGTGGTAAGACGAGCGGGGTGGGCTCACTGTGTGCCGGTGACCGGCAGAGCCCTCTCTTCCCGCCAGGGTTCACCAGCGTCGACCAGGTGGTGGAAGTGGTCACCGCGCTGGTCTCCATATGCAGCCAGGGCCACGCCGCTGCCAACTTTGGCCAGTTCGATGAGTACGGCTTCGTGCCCAACTACCCGCCTGTGCTGTACGGTCCCGTTCCGAGCAGCAAGGACGCCGTGCCCAGCGACAGAGACCTCCTCAACTATCTGCCAGGCCGCTTCGCCACGCGCGAGATCATGGTCATCACGAAGCTGCTTAGCTTCCGCGGCACCCGCGCGCTGGGCGACTTCGAGGTGCGCTACATCTACGACCCGGTGGGCTCGGCCGCCGCCGACCGGCTGCGCGGCGAACTCCGCGAGCTGGCGCGCCAAATCGACCGGCGCAACGCCACCGCCCAGTTCCCGTACAAGTGGCAGAGCCCCTCAGTGGTGCCTAACGCCATCAGCGTGTAAAAGTGGCCGCCAGACGGCCCCCACCCCTGGGCCGTCGAGAGGCGCGGGCCGCCGCCACACACCGCTGTGAATTGTGTCGTTCCGTCGCGATTGCCACTGTTGGATTAACCGGCTCGAGCGCGGGCGCGCGACAGACTCGTGCGCGCAGCACTGGGGCAAAGTGACTGCGTGACTGCGTCTTGTTTACCACAGAGCGAAATAAAGTTGCTAGCATAAAAAAATCAGCGTGTAAAAGCCGCGCAGCGAAGCAGGTGCCTAGCGCCCTGCACGCAAAAGGGCTCATAGCTAGAATGCTATGCAGCACGGTGCCTTTCTAAATGCCTTAAACTCTCGCTTGTTAGAGCATCAAGTTGAACGCCATTGACTGAGGGGAACGCTATTTCGACTTTTAGTATGACAAATGATACATATTTTGAAGAAAAAAATCGCAGATAAGTCCATTCGAAAGCTCTTCGAAACTGTTTCGCAAAAGGGTTAGATTTGACCCGAGATCAACGGTTTGGTCTTCAGGGGCAAAACCGTCAAAACTATCGTTTTTGTTGACAATGTTGTATTGCAATGATCTTTTTCCATACTGCACTTGTGCGACACTGATGTACCTAATTGTAGTTGTCTAATCTAGATCAAGCTTCCTGTAGTGAAAATACGCTATTACCTATAGGAAGAAGTGGCTAACCAATTATATACCAATAGAAAGAAAATATCTTGTATCTTCTGCTTATCTGAGGCCTTTTGGACCAAAATACATGCCTAGGTAGATTGCAATTTTATCTATTACTCCAAACTAAAAAAAAAAAACTACTCGAAAACCACCATGAAAACGACTACAATCGAGTATGTAGAAATGACTTTCTACAATCAATGTAGAAAGTCAATCGAGCGAAATTTTTAAGTTTACTTGGTAGGCATGTACTATGTATGTATGTTGTCGATTCCACCCAACCAGGTATTTTGGTGCAAGAGGCTTCTGCTATGCGTATGTATTATGTATCGATCGGACAATACACAATTAAAATACTATAACGCATTTTCGGATCTCGACTAGTGAAAGCACCAGGGTGGACAAACCCTAGACGTGAAAAGTGTGATACCAAGTATCCTATATGCCTTTTCTAGCGAGTTCGCCTGTTGTGCCGTTACCGTAATCGTTTCCAATGCAAAGCTCAAAGATTACTCTATTGCCTTTATCCTTTCAACAAGAGCTCTTTTATCTCCGTTACAGCCTCACCGGTTTTCTCCTCTATGAATGCTTTGAGCTTTACCATGTAACCGAAACCACAGCACTTTTTTATTTATTTATTTTATTTATTTATTCAAGTGATCACCAACAGGGCGGACCCCCACTGACAGGCGAAGTCAAACTAACACTATACATGATAAACAATGACATACGGGCAAACAATGCAGAGTAAACAGTAGGTAAATATTACGATAAATATAGCTAAAAATATAATGCACAAAAAATATGTGGGTTAAGATGAATCTAAAAAAAAAACGAGCTTGTAAAAAGACTTTAAAAAGATGATATATACTTCAAAACATGCGATTTAAAAGTCCCAGTGGCATCGGTAAAAAATCTGTCCCTGGAACACTGCATAAAAACGAATTGACTATAGTTCGTTTTTTTTTTTTCAAAAGGACGCTGGCTCCAAGTATGTTTTTCGAACAAGCACGTGTTTTTGCGAGCAAAACGAGCAAAAACTGAACCTGAGAAACTCGAACGTCGCCTTATTTTAACATGTGAATTATTCCCGATAAATTCCATGCCTGCGTTTTGGAACTAGACATGAGAACAGTGGTGACGTCATGCTGTGGAACTTGCACTGCAATGCAATGCATAACTATCATGGAAAGAACCGCTTACTCGATTCGGGTCTCGGTAAGAGCAAAAAACGAAGTTTTCCCAAAATTCGTTGGTAATGAATGCTTTCGTATGGACATTGGGTGCCAGCTGCCACCAGTGACGTCATCATAGTATGCTCATTTTTGAAGTCACAATTTCCATGCATTTACCGAGCACAATTTGAAATCGATGATTTTTTCGGCAGGGAATTCTTAGCCAGACGCTGAAGTTGGCAAAACTCACGTGAGAGGTTCGATAATGAACTTTGAGCCAGCGTCCTTTTGAAAAAAAAAAACGAACATAGACATGGTACCCTGTTGAATAAACCCCGCTTCACGGTGTTGACACGTGCACGGGGCTCATAAAACAGTTTCTGTGTGCGGGTCGACCGAGTGGGTATGTGCAGTGCAAAGCTGTTTAATATGTGGCAGCAGTCGTGTCTCCCATGAAACACGTTTCTGATGAAAATCAGATCATGCTGAATTCGACGTGAAGCCAATGACTGTATCCGGAAGTGATTTAGTAAAGCACTGTAATCCAGAGAAATGGAATGTCCGGAGTGCGTGTTTGATAAAAGCCATATTAGAAATTTGTGTTGCACTCGGTCGACCCGCACTGTGTGGGTGTCAGCCGCACCCGCCCATATCACACTGCCATATTCTAAAATCGAGCGTACACTGGAGAAGTAAGCACACAAAAGTGCCTTGCGATGAAATTTGCTTCCCTTCTCACCTGTTTGAAAGGATCGAAACAACAGGCCCAGGCTTCGGTTTGCTCTGCTAACAATGCTGTTCACATGAGCAGCAAATGTAAGCTTGGTGTCTAAAATGATACCCAGGACACGTATCTCTCCAACATGCTCGAGTTTAGTGGCGTTGATAAAATACTCTGTCCGGACGGGTGCGCGCCTGAGGGTGATCGTGAACGATTTGCATTTGCTGGGGTTTAGGGTGAGTCCCCATCTGACGGACCAGGCCGCCAGACGACCAAGGTCCTGCTGGAGCAGTAGTCCGTCAGATGGCGAGACAATTTGTCGAAAAATTTTGACGTCGTCGGCGTATTCGGAGGTGAGGTCACTTGTCGTGACCTGGTGACCTGACCTAAGGCGACCTGGGTCTGAAATTTTCACAACATGTGCGGAAAAGATGCACGAACAGGTGTGCCAAAAACGGCGCGATCCGCGGCGCTGCTTTTGAGACATCTGCGAAAAACCGCAGGGAGGGGGGTGTTCAAACACCCCCGGCCCGGCGCGGGTTAAAGAATTTAAAAATAACAGCACCACGGATAGGGAGTGGACGGGCACACGACCACAGGGGCGGATCCAGGAAAACTCCAAGGGGAGGGTCATGAATCGAAGTGGTGCCCCTACCTATACCCAAAATTAAAAACTCAACGGATTTCGTCCACTTCATTTTGGTGGTGCCCCCATTTTCAGTTTTTTTTTTCTTTTCATTTTTTATTTTTAGTCAGTATCTTAATTCTTACCCACAACTACATTTACCAATTGTAAGCAAATATATATGAATGTGCTATGTGTATATATGTTGTGGACGCTGAGTAGTGAGTACTTACCAAGAACGTTATCAGGTAAGCGAATCGTTGTCAGTCCGACGAACTTGACCCTGGCGTCTAAAGGGTCTGTCCTTGACACTTCAGGCTTGTCAGGGGCACCAAAGTCCTTCCAGGGACACCACAAACCTGTCAGGGGCACCTACGGCCTTGTATGGGCGCCACAGGCCCGCCAGGGGCACCACAGGCCTGCCAGGAAGCAGGGGCAACACAGGTCTAGCAAGTATATGTTGCAGGCACTTTAGAAAATCAGTCATTTTGTAAAATGCCTAGGCATTTTACAAAAAGACGGCTGTTTGAAAAATGACTGAACGCAACCAGGCTTTTTTCAAAATGGCTAGCCATTTTACAAAATGACTAGGCATTTTGCAAAATGCCTGACCAGCATGGAACGTAGATCCCACTACAGATACTATGGCCAACAGTTTTTGGACGTCTTCCTATACCCTATAGGTACGTGTTCAGCCTGTAGCTGATCGATTTGAAGCTCTGTGATGACGACAATGCTGAGTAACGACCAGCTTGAGTTGCAGACTCGGCTGTAGCATAAAGCATTGTTTAGTTAACGCTGTAAAAACTCCCAAGTACACATCAACGCCGTTCATGTTCTGCCTAAAACTAGACCTAACAAAACCAGCCGGAGACCGGCCCTAGTCAATAGGCAGGCCCGGTTGATGTACAATTACATGTAAACGAATGACTGTAGTCTTTGTTTGATTGTGTCTTTGTTTGACAGCTTTGACTACCTACTTGCATGGTCCCAGTTAAAAATATCAAGCTCCACATCGGGAGAATCATCAGGTCGCTTGGCGTAGGACGACAGCGTTGGTTTCAGAAGACACTAAAGGCGGCCGCACACTAGGCCATTCGGCGGGCGACATTCCGCAAAAACGCAATTCCGTGGCGACATTACGCTTTCGTGGACGCCGAATCAGCTGCCGAAACGACAAAATTATCAGCCGACCACTGCCAGCTAGCTGTCCGCGAGTAGAGTGCGCATGCGCGCGAACAGCCGCGGAGTTGCGGAAAAAGCTGGACCGGTTCAGCTTTTTCCGCGGCGACGCCGCGGACACCCGAAATTGTGGAACTTGAAACTCACCAACCATTGATGGAGCAGCCGAGAAATAGACTTCACTTGATAAAAAATCGTAGCGGCACTTCTTTCCCCATATTAAATGGTTTTTATACACTTCATTGGCTATTCCAATAATGGGTTACTATGTGCCTCTCCACAATTGTCTTTAGGTTACTTGCATTTGTCGACAAACACGGTTGTTTACATTAATCACGAGCTTTATTTTTTGCAACTTCCTCCAGAAATTATGTCAAATTAATAGATATTCAAAACTTTATTGTACAGAAATATAGCATAATCGCATTAAACTAGATGCCGGCAGCGCTCGTGCGTTGCCTTGGGCCAGAATTGGAGGAATGGAACTGAGTATGGACTGCAAAACCAACTGAAACATCCATGAAATGCTTGAAAGCACGTGAGATTCGTGTGGAGATCTACCTACAGTAAGATATGAATTAACTGCACGTGCATAGTTCATGTCCCAGGCACCACAGTGCAGGCATTTTCATAACATCCTGTAGCGTGTGTCTATGTAGTTCTATCAGTGTACCGACTTTTGTGTCGCTAGCTCGACGTTTCCCGGGATCAGAGGATCCATCGTCAAAACCGTTATCCGCCCCCCGCACGCGCAGCTTGCACCCCTCGGATATTATCTCGCCGGAATGTCGTGATAAATGTATTCTTCTTATGACCTGCAAGTTTTGAACCAGTTAGAGCTGCCGTTTACCCTGCAGGCGTGGCAACGTACGAAGGGGTGCAATCGGCTTGCACGTGCATAGCTCATGCACCACAGAGTTTAGCTCAACCAAATGTGCATTATTTTGGAGGCCTTGCCTGGGACTACCATTGAACCGATTTTGAGGTTGATAGCTTAAAATTTCTTTGAGCCAGAGGACCTCACGTCAAAACGGGTTTCCGACCCCAGCACGTGCAGCCTGCACCCCTCGCAGACGGTGACCCCCCTGGAAACTGGTTCAAGGTGTTACCGATGTGTCCCGCCAGTATGGCTTTGCCCGTGACCTCGGGTTGACCTGTAGCCTTGACAAAAAATTTCGTGTCACCGAAACTTTGAAGCAGAATAGCATGTGCCACGAAGCACCGAGCGAACCGAGGCCAGCACCAAAAGTTTACCTCGCCGGAGACGAATTAAACGGTCCCACTTTCGTCCCGATCGGTCCATCCATTTTGACTCCAGGTCAATAAAAGCTTGGACAAACTCACATACATACTCACTCACTGACAAACAGGTTCAGCCGAACTTTTTTTCAGCGACCCACCAATGGGAATTTCCGGATGCAAAAGCATGCTATCGCATGCTTTTGATCCTCCAATTCTGGATAAGCAAATATTGTATTTGCTTAAATGTATTTAGTTTGCATTCGTTTATATTTATCATAAAATGTTTCACATAAAGTTCCTGAAAATACTAAGTAGAAAATCGCACCGCCGAATGGTCCTGTAAACTGCTGAAAACAAGCGGAAAGCCGCTGTAGGAATGTCGCCCGCGACATTCCGCTTTTGCGGAATCTCGCCCGCCGAATGGCCCAGTGTGCGGCCGCCTTAACGCCTAAGTGTGTGGGATCGAATCCTCGCGACCTCTAATGGTTTTACAGATACAGGCCGGCAATAGGGCCAGTCGTTTGTTGACGCTCCAGATCGATCATTTTAAATCCAGCAGCGTCGCTGACGTGGGGGTTGGAAATGTCGCGGGCCTGCACTTCTCAAAATAGAGAGAGGTAGGTATGGACTTCCCACTGCTGGACTCCTCTGATCATAATGCTGGACTCCTCGGTCCACCTACATGCTACCAAAACGTATATAATTAGGTACTCGTATCTACAACACGCTGCTCAGTCATTTTGTAAAATGGCTAGGTATTTTGTAAAATGCCTAGGCATTTTGCAAAATGACTGGAGAGTCAGTCATTTTGTAAAATGCCTAGGCTTTTTGCAAAAAGCCTGGAAAATCAGGCATTTTGCAAAATGCCTAGGCATTTTACAAAATGACTGATTTTCTAAAGTGCCTGCAACATATACACGACAGGCCTGTCAGGGGCACAACGGGCCTGTTGGGCCCATGAGCACCCCTAGGGGCACGGGCACCACAGTCCTTCCAGGGGCACCGCAGGCCTGTGAGGGGCACCAGCGGCCTAGCAGGGGCACCAGTCAACACAGGCCTGCCAGGGGCACCACAGACCTGCCAGGGGCACCAGAGGCCTGTCAGGAGCACCACCGACCTCGCAGGTGTAACTTGGGCCTGTCAGGGGCACCACGGGCCTGTCGAGAGGCACTTCAGGCTTTTCAGGGGCACCATAGTCCTCTCCGGGCGCAGGGGTAGCAGGGGCACCAGAGGCCTGCTGGGGGCACTACAGGCCTAGCAAGGGCACCACTGGTCTATCAGGGGCACCACGAGCCTGTCATAGCCAGGCATCTCAGGCTTGTCAAGGCCCAGGGGCACCACAGGTCTGTGAGGGGCACCAGCGACCTAGCAGGGGCATCAGTCAACACAGGTCTGCCAGGGGCGCCACAGACCTGCCAGGGGCACCACAGACCTGCCAGGGACACCAGAGGCCTGCCAGGGGCACCACAGGCCTAACAAGGGCACCACGGGCCTGTCAGGGGCACCTCAGGCTTGTCAGGGCCCAGGGACACCACAGTCCTTCCAAGGGCACCGCAAGCCTGTCAGGGGCACCAGAGGCCTGCCAGGGGCACCACAGTCCTTCCAGGGGCATTACAAGCCTGTCAGGGGCAACAGAGGCCTAGCAAGGGCACCACCACAGGCCTGCCATGGACACCACAGGCCTTGCAGGGGCGCCTCAGGCCTGTCAGGGGCACCACGTGCCTGCCGGAGACACTTCAGGCTTGTCAGGGGCGTTACAGTCCTGTCAGGGCCCAGGGGCACCAGGCCCGTGGTGTCCCTGCTAGGCCTGTGGTGCCCCTGGCGGTCCTGTGGTGCCCCTGGCGGTCCTGTGGTGCCCCTGTCAGGACTGTGATACCCCTGATAGGCCGGTGGTGCCCCTGGCAGGTCTTTGGGCCCCCGGGCCTCAAGGGGGGGGCCATGACCCATGTGACCCCCCCCCCCTTGGATCCGCCACTGCACGACCAACAGCTGTAGCAACGTAATGCATCTTTCATAATCCTACCGATTTATCGGTATATGCATACCTAACTCGGTACACTGCTCGGTATATAGCATAGTATATCGTATAATATAGAGCCTTGGAATAAAGTTACTATGCAAGCACATTTTGCATTCGAAACAAGGATCTGCATAGTTTGAACTGAACCCGGTAGCCGGTACCGCTGAGCTGCGCCGTCGGAGCTGCGGCGGACGAGGGTGAGTTTGGTCGATATGGTGACGGGCGCCGCCGACCGTCGGAGCTCCTCGAGCTGTCCAAGGAGTCTCCGTCGGCCGAGCGGGCCTTCTCCTCCGTGTGTCAAGGCTCCCGACAGTAGATAGCAGTGCCGTCTCCGTATACAGACATCTCACGTCTTTGTGTGTTGGAATCTCCCATTTCTATGTGCTGGAATCATCTCCAATATCTCTGTACTGGAATCATCGAGTCTCCGTTGCTGGGAACTCGCCTAGGTTAAGTGCGACATTTGACTCGCATAACATCGCCTGAGATCCAGTCAAGTCGGAGCCGTTAGTGAACACGTTGCGAACGACAGCTGTGTGACACAGTCTCTGTGCAACACAGTCTCTGTGAGACTGTGTCACTGCCTAGCTACGAGCGATGAGCGAGGGCGCCTTCAGCCGGACGGGTCTGCTGGCGGGCCGGCTGAGGCCACGACTCCGTCCCCCGGAGCGGCCCCCGGTGCTGGTGTGTCCGAGCGGGCCGGCGCCGGCCGCCGCGCGCCCCTTCTCGCTGCTCTACAACCCGCACCGGTGGCCGTGCAGTCTGCTGTGCCGGCACCCGGCCCAGCCGGCCGCCGTGGCAGACTCTGCCTCGGACGAGGACCGTGCCGCCGTCACCCGTCCGCCGGCGCCGGCGCCGCTGGCGTACCGCTCTGACCCGGCGGGCGGCGCCACCTCCTCCGAGCTGTGCGCGCTGCTCTCCGAGGAGGTGCTGCGCCGGTACGCCGCCTCCGAGATCTCGCTGCTGGAGACCCGTCAGCTGGCGCCGCGGCTGCGCCGACCGGGCGGTCCGGCCGCCGGCCAGCGCGCCGTGGTCGTGCTCGACCTGCGCGGTGACCTGGAGGAGCTGCTCTCGCTGCCGCAGCCGGCCGGAAGTGGCACCGGCCGGTCCCGCGGCCTGATGCGGCCGGCGGCGCAGGGCGGCGCCGGGCGGCGGCTCCCCGCTCGCGGCGCCGCCCTGCTCACAGTGAGCTCCCTGCGGCCGCTGCCGCTCCGGTCCCGCTCCACATCGTCGGGGTCGACGCGGCGCTCGGGCGCCTCGGTGCTGCCGCGCCGGCGCCGGCGGCGGCGGCGCTCGCTCAGCCCGCGGCGGGCGCCCTCGGAGGATGACACGGAGACGCTGATGGGTCGGCGGCCGGGCCACCGCTGCCTGCCCGTCCCCGACCGGCTCTGCATCGCCGTGCCGGACATGCCCACAATGTCACCCACCAGTGACCAGCCCAAAGCTAAGAAGGGAAAGAAAGGAAAACGGGGGAAGAAGGGGAAAAGAAAAGGAAAGGGCAAAAGGAGAAACAAAGTGGACCCACGCCTGCAAAAGATGGAGGCGTTTTCCACAATGATGGATGCACTCCAGAGCAGCTTTTCTGAGAGCCGGGGACGCGCGCGGGCCACCACCGAGAAGCGCTTCAACCAGCAGCTGGAGCGGGCCATGGCCGAGTACGGCGCTCCGGACGAGCCGCGCCTCTTCTGGCTGCGGCTGCCGCGCAGCTTCGCCACCGGCAGCTGCCGGTTCGAGCTGCCGCCCGACCTCAGCCTGCTGGAGACGCTGTCGCCCCTGCAGTACCTGGCCGACTACACGGTGCTCTCGCGCCCCAGAGAGTTTGTGTACGCGGCCGCGTTCGACGCCCACCGGCGCGGCGCCGGGGTGCCGGCGGAGGCCGTCTGGGAGGCGCTGGAGGCGGCCGCCGGTGGCCGGCTGGAGCGGCGCCACCGGCAGCAGCTGCTGCGGCTGCTGGCCGAGCCGCTGCCGCCGCTGCTCAGCCGGCCGCAGCTCTCCGGGCTGGCGGCGCTCTGCGAGCGGCTGTTCGCCGCCGAGCTGAGCCCGGCCGCCGCCGAGACGGGCGGCGCCGGCCGCGAGCGGCTCGAACAGGTCGACTTTCAGCGGCTGGCCGTGCTGCTCGAGGGAGTCAAACGGCCGCGCGCAGACGTCGCCGCGCTGCTGTGGACGATCAGGGATCAGGATGGGACGGACTGAATGAGTACCGCATAGGGGAAATGTCCATTTGAGACTTAGAGTGAATGCTATATGTAATGTAAACTTGGTTTACGTTTTATGTGTTGATAAGTGTAGCAATGAATATGATTTGATGTGCTTATGCCTATTGTTATGTCGGAAATTGGAATGATAAAACTTTAGGTCTTTCTTGCGACCTATTGTTGTAACGGTCCATGAGCATTCTGTCGTGCTCTTGTCAACAATAAAAACTTTGTCCTATGGCCTTTGTCCCAAAGAACTATCTCTCCCAAGCAAAACATAAAGGCGCGAAAATGTGTGTGTGTGTGTGTGTGTGTGTGTGTGTGTGTGTGTGTGTGTGTGTGTGTGTGTGTGTGTGTGTGTGTGTGTGTGTGTGTGTGTGTGTGTGTGTGTGTGTGTGTGTGTGTGTGTGTGTGTGTGTGTGTGTGTGTGTGTGTGTGTGTGTGTGTGTGTGTGTGTGTGTGTGTGTGTGTGTGTGTGTGTGTGTGTGTGTGTGTGTGTGTGTGTGTGTGTGTGTGTGTGTGTGTGTGTGTGTGTGTGTGTCATGGGCGGCGCCACAGGGGGGGACGGGGGGGACAGGTCCCCCGCTATCGAAAGTTAGGGGGGTACAGTACCCCCCTATCGGCGAGGCCCGTTCAATAGTTGATAATAATGCATTGTAGAGTTATCCGTCGCATTTAATGCATCGTTGGTTAATCAAGGCAGGTTCTGAATAAAGATTGCTGTTGTGATGTATCGCAGGGGGTCCTGGCCATCTGCAAAAGGTGTGGAGCTGTGATGCCTGTAGTTATAAGGTGATCGGCAGGGCCTCGGGGATCGTGCCCCCCCCCTTTTTGGGGCGCCAGGCAGGGTTATTACCTCCTCACCCCACTGCCAGACCCCATTGCCGACAAAACCAAGTTTACTGAAATTCCATAGATTTCCGCTACTATATGGATATTTTCCATTCCTAATTAGTCGAATTCAAGCATGGCAGTTCTACCACAGGAACCATTTGAAATCTATGCCATTTAACCCCAGCACTTGTGGGGAGAAGTGTTCGGATAGATCACAGGCAGGACCAAAAAAAGCACGCAGTAGCCCAAGACCTTATAATTGGGTAGCATCGGCTCCCTCTCGTCAAGGGGTTCGATACTTTTTTTTCTGCAAAACTAAGTTCGGTCGGCGGCCGAACGGCTGGGGGTCTAATCGAGCCAACCCCCCCCCCCCCCACTCCCCTTCTTACGTCAGCGGCTGTGAAAATCGGAATCCTACCCTGGGGCATTTCACCTGCAGAGGTCGCCGGACCTGAGACCCTTTCACTCATTTTTTTTCAACGATGCATGCGCTCGTTTTTCCCGCGAAGCTCTTGGTAAGTAAAATCCATCAGAAAGTGTGATCAAATAATGGCTGGTGACCTTCCATGACCTAGCATGACCATAGACCCGGGAACAGGGGGGGCAGCGGGGGCGCTTGCCCCCCCAACTTGGGAGCCGAGGGGGCGGCGCCCCCTCAACATTGAGGCAGCGAGAAAAGATCTTTCCTCCCTTTTCCGGACTTCTTTCCTTCTTGTTTCTTTTATGCATCTAAACATCAACACACGGCATTTTCCTTGCCATCTGAATGGTTTCTGCTGATACAATGTCGATTTGACAACATCTGCTATTGTCATCCCGCTTTGATTTGGGCCTGACCTTGGCCATAAGTTTGGCAGGCCAGATTTTATACTGTACCAGCTTGAGTCAGCTTTGAGAAATACATAACGTACAACGGTGGTAAAATCGTTGCTATAGGTATAACACAGTTTACCCGCTCCGGGTGAGATGGAGGGGTGTGGGGCAATGAGTGCACTGACGTGGCGCCCTCGGAGGGCCGGTATGGGATTAAAGCTCAGCGACACTAAGGGCTTATGTGGTGCCTTCAGTTATCGGTAGCACCCTCAGAATCACCGGCGTAAGGGCCCTCAGAGCCGCCGGTAAGGGGCCTTTAGAGGCACTGATCATGGTGTGGGGCCGCCATGCACTATGCAGGTGCCGGTGTGGGCGCTGAGGTGCTAGTGTGATTCTCTCAGAGGCGCCGGTGAGGGTCCTTACAGGCGTTGCTGTGGGCCCTCATAGACGCTGGTGTGGAGCCGTTACAGACGGGTGTGGGGTCTTTTGAGCTGTTGACGCGAACCCTCTACAAGGCGGCAGGGGGTTCTCAGTGATCGGCAAGGGGCCCTTAGGCCGGCAGAAGAAGTCCTGTGGGGTCCTTGGAGACCGGCATGGTACTGTCAGACGCCGGTGGGGCCCTCAGGGCTCAGAGTCACCGGTGTGGGGCCCTCAAGTCACCAGTGGGTGGCATTTAGATGCGCAGGTGTTGGTTGGGTCCTCAGAGCCGCCGATATAGGGATTTAATAGGCACTGGTGTAGGCACTCGGAGTTGGGGGTGTGAAACGCTCAGAGGCACCGGTGTGGGCCCTCATAGGCGCCGATGAGGGCCCCCACAGTTGCCGTTATGGGGCCCGCAGAAAAATAAGTGTGTGACCATCACAGGCGGGAAATGCCCCTAGAACTGGCCCCTCATAGGCCGGTAAGAACTCTCAGAGGCCAGTAACGGGCCTTTGGAGACCACCGAGGGGCCCTTTAAGTCTGCAAAAGGCCCTCAGAAACCGGCGTGGGGCCCTTATGGAGATCTCAGTGTGGCTATTTAGGGTCCATGAGGGGCTCTAACGAGCCCCATGGGGCCCTTCTGAGTAGAAATATGGCCATCGTTAACTCTCAGCGGTCAAATGGCGCCGCAGGGCCCCTCGGACCCGAGGGTCCCTTTGAACCCGATGGGGGGGGGGGGTACGTGTCCCCTTAGACTCCTAGCTACGCCACCGTTTCATATGCATCATGTCAGGCATTTTAGGCTCGCCCCCCCAACTTGAAAATCGTTCCCGGGCCCCTGAGCATGACCTTTTGAGTGACCACCGATGACATGACCACTGACGGCTAGCCATTAGCTGCACCCTGCCCGTTGCATATGGATCAGGTGGTGGTGGTGATGTCATGATTCTGAAATTATATTGCAGTTTTGGCGCACTTGTCAGAGCAGAAGACATTCCCACTTTTCCTCCATGACTATATGATGGCGAAGCCATGAAGCTGACCAGACGTAAGATTGAAAATTTGAAAGTACGAAACGTAAGAATGGTTGGCACTGCTACTCATCATACCTAGGTAATTCGCAGCTTGTAGGAAACCAGCTTTGAGTTGGCAAGACTGCAAATTTTGATTTAGAGGCAAGGATGCTTGAAAAGGTGATCGATCTTAGGTGTCCTAGGATAAGTTTGGAAACGGGATGCACCATTCGATGTATTTTGGGCTTTACCAAGTTTCGCGGCGTTACGTGCCTCGTTTTTTTTGCATACACGATCAGTATCTACTTTTGGGATTTTCGGTCAGGCAGGTCCCCGTCCCCCCCTATCGAAAACCCGTGGCGCCGCCCCTGGTGTGTGTGTGTGTGTGTGTGTGTGTGTGTGTGTGTGTGTGTGTGTGTGTGTGTGTGTGTGTGTGTGTGTGTGTGTGTGTGTGTGTGTGTGTGTGTGTGTGTGTGTACTTGTAAGCCATCACTTTTGGGGTCATTTTGTGATCGCACACCTGCAATGTGAGGACACCATGTCACATTCACGGACAGTTTTGGTGTCCTCGGATTTAGAAGGCGGATATACCCATATTTTTCATTTTTTCAACGATTTAAGAGTTTTCGGAGTGTCCCGAAATTTCACGTCTTTTGAGATCGAGTGCGGAAAGTGTGTGAGTGCGGAAATTTCGGAGCGTTTCCTATTCTGTGCGACGGATAGTGGTGTTTGGAATCGAAGGCATATCCACCATTCATGAATCATGACTAGCGATTCATTGCCGCAATACATTTGTTCTTTGCATTTGGGATAATATTTTGTATTAATATATTTGTTTATTTAATATCAAACACCTAGGATTATTCTTGAGTTAATTTAAATTTGAATCTTTTTTGTTAAATCAGACTCAATCTGAATCCTTTGCTGGATAAACAGGGAGCATGCGGCCCTTGCGCGTAGATTGGTTGCCTCATACTATGACGTAATAGGTACATTATGTTGATTGGTCAGTTTACTCAAAACGCCTTTGGCTTCGACGCTCATTGGCCCAACTTTCGCGTGCCTCCAACCGCCTTTTCATAAGAAGTTTGTACGTTTTTAGATTTAACTTTTCCGGTGGTTTCGCGTGGATTTTCGTCAGCTTCGTGAACAACTACTGTCGTCCGATTTGTAAGTGCATCATGCCTATTTTCCCATTCGTGAATTAGGATAGCAAAGCCTTTTCAGAATTATTCCATGCTCATTCAGACAGATGGTTCAAGGCGGTCTAAGGCGCTGAGAGTTTATTCTCTTAAATAAGTATCGAAAGTGTACCTACCTACCAAATAAGAACTTCCAGGGATTTCCCAATCCTAAGTGTTCTTTGGAGATTTAGCCTTTTTAAAGGTGAGTGTCTGTCTGTTCTTAAATATTGGTAATTATCCAGTTCAAGTTTAAATCAGCTTCAGTGCATGGGTGTTGTTTTCCATAGCAATAGGCTTGGTAGGTCCCGAGCCCTACCAATAATTTCAGGATTAATTTCATAATAATTTCAGAACATTAGATGCCTTCAAAAACGTATTAAGCAAGATGAAAAGAACATGTTAGAGCTCTGAAACTTCAGCTAACATCTGAGATTCACCCAATACCAAAAGTGTTCTACGAAACATTCGGCTTTGGACTTGTGTTTTTGGTTTTTGTTTCTACAACTTTGCAAATTTTCCAATTCTGTCATTGAATAAGTGTCAGTGTCCTAAATGCTATTTTCCAGCTTCTAAAATAACATGTAGTTATTATTATTTTCAGGGAAAAGTCCATGTAAGCTAGTGGCAGCTATTAGTTTGTAGGTAAGCACCTGACCAAGTACCTAGGTACTATTCTTGTTGCGCTATTGACCCTCTTTCATTCTTTCTCAATTCTGTTTTTAGAAATGAACTCAGTGCGTTGAGTAGAGCATGTCAAAGCTC